GCAGGCCAATTTGATGCAGTGTGCAGCGTATGGTCTGAGCACGTGCACTCAACTTCTTTGGTCCACCTTGGTGAGGTCTGTTCTGTGTGGAACCTGTCCTGTTAAACCGCTGTATGGTCTTGGTCACTATGCTGCAGCTCAGTGTCAGGGTCTTGGCAATCTTCTTATAGCCTAGGCCATCGTTATGTAGAGAAACAATTCTTATTTTCAGATTAGTTCTTTGCCAAGAGGTGCCATGTTGAACTTCCAGTGACCAGTATGAGGTAGTGTGAGAGCGATGTCCCCAAATTTAGCACACTTTTGAGGGGACAGCAAATTTACTCTGAAGGTGATGGATTGGCCAAGCATGTCTCCAGACTTAAACCCTATTGAGCATCTGTGGGGCATTTTCAAACGGAAGGTGGTGGAGCACAAGGTCTCTAACATCTCCTATAGTTCTAGAATGCATGCACTATAATCCAATTCACTCGCAAGTCCCAGTTTGTGTTCTCCAAATTGGAGGCAGAAATGGAAACTCCGGTCTTCATCGAAATCGAAATGGACGAACTCCTGTGTGTGTATGTGATTATGTTAGTTTAGCTTCTAAGTATAAGAATAGTTTAATAAAGTCTGGTCTGATTTTAATAGCAAGTGTCTCTTCTTTAGGATTTATTGCCTTAATTTGTCTGATCTTGTTACTGTGTTCATAATTCATGTTTAAAATCAGAATATTATTACCGATGGCCACGGGATTAATATCCTAGCCAGACTTAACAAGATGCATTAAGTTCAACTCATCAGTGCACGAATAGTTGATCAGCTGTTGAAATAATAAGTTTGCACATTTCCCCCATTTTGAGCTCAATCTAACAAAAGGAAAAGCTTATTTTTCCCTACAAGACCAACTGGCATTTCCAAATTGCCTGTAGTCAGTGAATGTGTGTGCAATTGTGCCCTGTGGTATTAGTATAAATATGACACATAGCTGTTTGCTTTGACTTGAATGGAGTCAAAAGTTTGACGTGTAACAGAAAGGGTAATGTTTTAAATGTCAGTTTGGAGGACAACACACAGCTCCGGTTCAGATAAAAATCAATACTCCAATTCAATGAGAGATTATTTTACTCTTCAGCATGAGAATGGTGCAAGTGTACTTTTGTTTCCTAATAAAAAATTAATCTGGAATTTAATTCTATAGGCATGTGAACAGAGATGCGCCATCACGTTCAGTGAATGTCATCTATAGAGCAGGCAACTGGAATGAGAACACACGTGACTTTTTAGGTAAGCTGATCATATAGGAAGACAGGTCGTTTGTCAGACCAAAACAACTGGCTGCTTTAGGAAGAGGTTGAGATATTTTATTTCGTTTGGCAAGGAGAGCACCTACAACGAGCATACTCGATAAAAGGCTCATGTCTCCTGGCTGGCTGAAGGCCCAGTGCTGTGACAGTCAGGCTCTTTTTAAAATAACGCCACAGAGGAGAACAAATTCACAGACACTCAGATTTCAAAAAGATATACAAAGATATGCAATAATCCTTTAGAGCAAGAGTGACAGATGTAGAAAGATAGAAAGCAATATGAAGATAGTGAAAGAGAGACAGATGGATATAGGTGGGAGAAATTAAATAAATGTGGATCAGAATGAATTCAAACTGATCATTTGTATATATGTGCAACCAATATATTTCATGGTCAGTTTAGAATATGACTTTTAATTCTGCTGTGTGACTGCCTCAAAAAGTGAGACCCAGAGAGAATGTCTACTGCTAAAACTCACCAGTTCACAGTGCTAGGAGAGGATATGCCAAGACTAAGCTTTTCTGATTTTAAGAGCAAGAAAAAAAAAAGTATATATGTCTTTTGCAACTATGATGTAACAGGTGTGTGTGTGTGTGGGGGGTACAGAGAGTCAAGAAGAACGGGAAAGAAAGAGAGAAAGAAAGAGACAGGAAGAGCTACCATATACACACCTCTACAAATGCCCCTATCCATCACCTCTATAATCAACCTCTCCTTCACACTGTCTGGAGTTGTTAAACTACAGGACATCATCACCTTCCACACACTCAGTGATCAATACAGTCTATGATCAATAGCTGGTCCAAAAGCCAAAATGCCACTGAGGGCAGTGAAATAAAGCATGGTGCCTAACTGTAATGAGTGAATCATCATGCCCAATCCACATAAAATATATAAATTATATATTTAAAAAATTTATAAATTATATCACAATGCAATATTCACAGAGATTCAAAGGTACTATAATTAGTTTTATAACAATGAACACACAAAGCAGAGTTGAGCTCCAATGTTATGACATACTATACGTACTTAGTTAGCTAGCTAGCCCAGTTTGCATGGCCAGAGGGAACTTGCCACGTAAGTTGATAGATAAATCAAACATGTTCCCTTTCAAAGGGAACTTCGACGTTGCATTTAGCATAACAGTATGGGAAGCGCCTTGCGCGCATGACCGGTATCTGAAGCTTGTGTAAAATCATGCCTCTACTTATAGACCTGCCATGATCAGGTGACATGGCAATTAAGCACGTCGCATGATATATATATGGCACCTGTGAACCCTGCTG